CGTACACACACGCGCAGTGCGTGCGAGGGTTTGACAATAAAAATGAAGACAGCTCAGCATCAAACAGCTATGAGAGGGCAATGCCCTCTGAAAAGAGTCATAAATTACTAATATAAATAATATTACAATTTTTACAAACATCAAGCGTGTTTTTTTAGTGCTCTCCCTTTCTCTCTCCCTCTCTCCTGTCCTCTCGCTTCCAACTTTCACGTGAACTTCTGTCCCACCCTGACCTTTAACGTTTTCGCCGCCGAAGCGAATGCACCGAGCCCAACGTCTGCGCACAATTAATTTATGAGCTGGCACGGCACGACGATGTCGGCAAGGCCACCGTCATCGTGATAATTAATCTACGCCACGTGACCCGCATTTGTAAAAAAACGGGCGATGGGGTGAATGTGGCCGCACCACGCGCTTGCTTGCGCGTCCGCTTTGGAGGCAGGGCTGGTGGATCACGCAGAGATTCCGTCTGCGAGCGAGACAATTAAACCTGTAGGGAGATTAAGTGAGCTGCAGGAGGCAGCGCAGCAAGGAGCTCGATGGCCACCACTGCGGACTGTTGAGCGCTATTATGCTCGCGTGTATGTGTGCATGTTAAACTTCTGTCGCACCGTATGTAGCCAGCCGTGCTCATCGGAGGTGCGGGGGAAGGAAAATCGAGGTGCGCGGAAGGAAAAAAAACAACCCGCATGTGCAGTATGTTCACTGGGAACACTGGTTTTGTACCACAAGCGAAAACACCCGAAAGGGAAATGGACAAATATTACAAGTAGAACCCTCCTAGAAATGTGTCTTGATACCGAGCCGAGGGGAGTGGTGGCTTAGTGGTTAGCGAACTGTGCTCTGGACCCGGTGACCTGAATTAAATTCCCAGACTCGTGATATCTGAACTGGTTGTTATGCCTCACGTCTTCATCAAACCAAAACTACCAGCATAGTTCAGTCTGAGGTCAAACAACCTGCAAATTAATCTAAGAAGGCTTGGAGAGGCCTTCATCCCAGCAGGGTCCTGCCAAAGGGCTGTACACTCGAATTCTTATCATTAAGTGGAGATTTTCTAGAAAAGCAACGCAACGCTTTCCCTACAAAATCACTAGACCTTTATGCATTTCACCAAAACCACATTTTGCTAAGTACAACAAAAGCTCTGATTAATTTTCTCTGCGTGCGAAGGGCTCTTCTCATTCAAATGGGCTCTTTAATAGGTGTGCAGACACAGGTGCGCACGGATGTACAGTGAACTTTGGGTGCCTCACAGTTCTCGAAATGTCGCGCCTGCAATTTATTTCTTTCAAACCTAGTACATTGCACCCAGACGATGAGCTAATTCCCATTGGGAGAGGGGGAAATGTAATTTTGAGAAGAAAAAAAAATACGTGCGCATGTTTTCACAAGGTAACAAACAGCCGATCGTAATACATGAAAATAAATGACCAACGAAATGTCATGATTGAATTGACCCGCTCGCTGCTCCATGTCCTAGCCCAAGCATCGATTGGGCTGTGCTATAACACGCAAACAACTGCCGATTTATGTCCAAATAAATTGCGGGAGGTTTTTTTCCACCACCTCTTTCATCGTTGCCGCCACCACCATCTTTGTCGTCGCTATTTGGAATAAATTTTTTGGGTTTAGCCCGAGATTTTGATTTGATCAAATTTGTGTCGCTAAGAACCCTCCACCACCCGACATAGCCATCATTAAATTGTCGCCTGTGCGTACGTTTAACACCGTGCCAATTACTATTGTTTCAGCTCACCTGCAAAGTTGAATAACAATTCTCATCACAGAATACTGTAAGTCCTCGCTTAAAGCGTGTTCGTACGACGTGTTATAATACGGTGGAACATTTTTCGCCCAACGCAGATTAAGCCCGTTGTTAAAACGCCATTTCTGAGCGGTAGACGACACACTACTTTGTTGAGCTGCGAGGCTGCGTGGTGTGATACAATACACGGAATAACAGAGTACATGGCACACGCTCATCTAAGTGCTTTGTCCCACCATGGGATGACTGCAGGCTGATTTTACAGTGCAAATGTGATTCCGTGCATAAATTAAAGCTCAACGCGGTTTTTGCTTGACGTGTCACTTTTTCAGGAACGCATCCACGATGTTAAATGAGGGATTCCTGTTTAGCAATGTTAACCAAGGTGGGATCATGATTAATTGTAATGGTCTAATTGCTATATTTGGTCTTTGAAAATTGCTCGCTAAGCGATCGCTCATTAAAAAATCGTCGTTCTCCCATAGACTCCTCCCATGTGAAAAGCCGAGTTAGGTTTCAGCCCCAAAATGTTCCACTCTTGATCAACCTTTTTAACATGAGAAGTACAAATTAATATATAATTTAAAAATACAGTAATAAAACATCAAATGTAACACTGCACACGAAAAACCACAGCGCAAGATACCCCGTATAGCCTATGATATAACCACCTCTCTCTCCACTCCGTCACACAGCCCACTCACGCTCTCTCTCTCGTCTCTCATACATGGACACAAACCTCCCCCATATAGCCTTAATAGACTGTCGGGCCAAGCCCTGTTAGCGAGCACCTATGAAGGGTGGTACGGCACACGAGGGGTGGGTGGCCAGCAACACGCCTGGCCGCCTTTGTCTCCCGAGTGGCGATGTTTACACATCGCACCAGGTATTCCCTTGAGGCCGATTCGTCCTAGGAGAGACCCCGAACCGGTTCAGAGAATCGTCACTGGGATTGTTGTAGTTTAACGATGGAAAGTAGGGTTATAAAGTGAGCTACAGTAGCCTGAATAAAGTGTCTTAGCTAGCTAGGTGATGGACAAATTTGACAGCATACATTTGCACATGCAGTCATAAAAATGATTGTTTGGTGGAGCATTGGCACACAGTGCTATAACCTGAGTGACCTGCGCTTGATTCCAGCGATGACTAGTCTTTTCACTGGTCTCGTCGCCCCCCCCCCTCCCTTTGCTTCCTTCATTAACCTGCAACGATTACCAGAATTATGAAGTATGGTCAAACAACCCCCACGTCTGATACAGCGCGGGGGAGGCCACCGTCCAACAATGGATTGGCAAGGGCTGCACGTTTTAATAAACAATGCCGATGTCAATTATTTACACAGGAAAGCACCACTGAATCTCAATATTCTTTGTCAGCAGGGTCCGGCATTGAAATGAGTGGCCAATTCCATTTTAAATGACTTTTTTGCACGAGGAAAAAAATGGGAGTAATTCGGAAATGAAATCCACGCACACCAAGAGACAACACTGAACAGCCCCCTTGCAGACAAAGTTAACGAACCCGCTTTCTCTACTGCTGTCTCCTGGACATCTTGCAGCTCGGTGGGTATGAGAAAGAGAAAATAAACCTACAGAAATTAACCGCTGCTTCCACAGTGTGAGCCACCGTCCCCATATAAAATGGACAGAGGACTTTAACCCTTTCCAGTGTCCGACAACGTACGTGTACGTCGCCAGTATTTTCTTTCGATTCTGATTCAGAATAAACAACAAAATTAAATAACTATCTTGGTAACGAGGCTCCCACAAGACCATGCGGAAAGGTACGTGGCACAGTTTGGTGCCGGCTCTCGCAGAGTGCGGCGGTGGTGTCGCTACAATTCTCTGCAGTGAATGCAATGTCTTTAAAAACAACAGCACTATGCCTCTCTAAAAAGAATTAACCGCTTGCGCGTTCTGGGATTCAGCGGTAAGCGGCACCCACCCTGCAACTTGCAGACGTCTCGGAATGCGAAAGGGTTAATAATTGACACGTGTGTCTACATGCCCCAAGATGAGGAGGAGGTTTTGGATGTCAACTTTGTGAAGGGAACAAAAGCCGTGACATGTACCAAAAAAAAGTAGCAAGAAGAGATCCATGATCAAAACGACACCCACACACAGGGGGAGAAGCACATTCATCAGGGAACAAACGCAAATCAGAGACCTCGTATTGAATGTTAAGAAAAGTAGGTTGGCTTCAACGGTGGCCAAAGCATAGAATGTGCCGGAGAGGATGATAACCGCGGGGATGGAATGATGAGTTCACTTCATGTGCAGCAGTGAGAAATACTGTGGTATAGGTGCTGTGATGGATGGCAAATAGCATAGGAAGACCATCAAGCAGTGGCTAGACAATGTCTGATGATTACACCGAGGAATATTATAATCAGAGGAATGGCTTAACACACAGACAAGCATTCAAAGAAAGGACGAGCATCACTGCTTTACTAACGAGAAAATGATGAAGAGAATTTCCATTATTGCTGCGCTTTACAATCTAGCCACAGCTTTCAAGCAAGGAATTTAGGCCAAGCTGCGGTACAAAATATCCTGCCTGTAATGAATGAAGCTGTACAGTCTTTAATGTCCACTTACTGATACAATGTGTTTTCACATATAGCCATATAGTGCTGTGGCAGAAGGCAGAACCAATAATTGCAACACTCCAGGGTCTATCAAATTCTTTGCACAAATGCGTAGCCCCATTGAGAGACATGTCCTTACCTTATGAATGTGAATTGTCAAACAATGGCCTTGGACTACCAATGGAATTGAATCCTGCCCAGAACTATATATTGTTATTCTACATGGACAGTCATGTTGTGAAGCCACTGTGGAATGAGGCCCTCCACCCACCTTGCAGGTCATGTGGGATATTTGACCATACTTCACCATGCTGGTCAGTGCATTTTTCGCAGCAGCCTATGACTATGACAAACGATGTTTACGCACGATGGTCATCAGTACAACCACCATCTAGGCTTAACCCACCTTAGCTTTTGACATCTGATGAAATCGGGCACATTCAGGGTGACTAAATCACCGCCATACATATATTTTTTATGTTGACAAAAAATTGCATGCGACTTGAAATAACCACTGGGGTGCACTTTTCCAGCAAAGATGAGCGGCAAGAAAATTAAAAATATATATCGCCCTGCAAATCCAAGAACCCCCAAGAGAAGCGACACACGGACGAGTACGGAGCCAAGGAGACGGAGCTAGCGTACAGGAGCAGCGGTTGGCGGTGCCACTTCAGCTGGGTTTACCCGCCGCGGAATGTGCAGGAGGCGGTTCCGCTCAAACATGTCCTTGGCCTGTCGCCAGGTGCCGTCGATGAGCACCAGCGTGAAGAGGGGAACAGCGCCGTTCACCGAGGCGGGGGTCGGGACGCGGGAGGCATCTGCCAAGGGGGTCGGATCGACGGCACCGCAGGGAGCGAGCGCTTCTGCCCATCCAGGCTTGGCGGCGGCGGCGGGAGAGTCATCTCCTGCGCCGAGGAGGATGGCGCTACTCTCAGGGGCAGCACTAGCGCAGGTGGAGGAGGAGGCGCCGACAAGGTCGTAGAGGTCGACAGCACCGGGCCCGGGGTACAGCACCAGCGTGTTGGGGCTACGACACACCTGTGCCAGCTCAGGGAATCTTGGGAGGCAGAGAGAGACAAAGAGGGTCTGCGTTTACATTATATTTGGGCTCTCTTCTTTAGTCTTCTTTAGCCCTCTGCCCCATGGCAGCTCTATGGCTCAAACTCCCTCCGTCTTGCCCGACATTGAGATTCCTTCTTCAATTCATTGTACAGTCACCCCCTGCCTTCAAATCGTCAAGCAGCACCTTTCTTCTTCTGCCTCTTGGCCTCTGTTTCAACATCCTTCCTTCCAGCACTTCCTTCATCAAGCTTTTATCTCTGAGAAAATACCCAATTCACACATTTTGCCTTCTATGCATTATATTACCTTCTACACAAGCAAATTCCCAGAAAGCTCAAGGGAATAAGTGATAGTGTGACACAGCACTGAGCCACATAGTTCAGTATCTGAGGTTTGAATCTAGGATTCAGCCATCAGTGTCTAAACCGGATTCTCAAGCATAACAAGCTGATGGTTTCAGCCAAGTAAGCAATGACTGCACAACAAAACACATTGTATCAGATACATTTTCAGAGTAATTTTCATTATTCCAGCACATATAATCAAAAAGGTTCAGTTTGCTGATGTGCGGTGCCCCGAGTAGGAAGATATGTACTTAAGCAACTTTAGCAGCAGTTAAGTAAGGTAATTTTCCTGGAATGTTCTTCGTCCATTGCTCGCTGAGATATTATCCGGAATAATTTTTTCATGACAAAATGCCGCCGGCACAATTGAAATACAACTGGGAGACAACAAACACTTACATTTTCTAATTAAAAGCCTTCAGTTGAATTAATCTTAATAAAATACTGATGTCTAGCGAGTACCTAATAGAGGCGGCAAGACAAACGATGGCGGACATGTGGCTGGGACCATGCATGCCCATCTGCTTTTGTCGTCTCCCACACGTGGATAATTGTGACCAGACCGTTGCAACTGGTGGACAGACCCCACCCCCCTAGCGAGTACACAGAGTACGCAGCCGAGCTTACGCAAAACACCACTGCCAATTAAACATCATGGTCACTCTGTCAAGCGCTGGGGTGGAAATATCGCACATCCCATCACCACATAAAAAGTGAGTGGCTTGGGAGGCACAAGGTAAAAAAATGTAAACCCCCCCCACCCCACCCGACGACCCCAATCATCCTCTCCTGGGTCAAACAGGCACCCCAAACATGCAAAACTGGGTGCCATGTTGGTGGGATGTTAACTACCTTGCCCGGGATACAGGAGGTTGTGGGTTTGATCCTGACCTGACGCCTGCTGAATATTTGGAGTTTGCATGTTCTTCCCGTGGTCGTGTGGATTTTCCTCCGGGTCCTCCGGTTTTTCCCTCCACATTTAGAATCAACATCATGCGTTTAAGAGTATTTTGCTGCGATAAATTTCGACGCGATAAGCCACTTCGTTGAGCTTATCATTTGTGATAGAACAGGTCGATTTTTTAAAAAGAGCTATATAGTAGCTCAGTGAGCCTTACCTGGAAAAATAAAAGTTTAGTTTTAGTTTAAATTAAGCCATCGGCGCTAGTGACACGGAACGCGCTGAATGAGCGTGTCACACCCCTCGCTGCAATATTTCGTATTTGTCTGCACCTCTGTCTGGCTTTCTGTTTACTCCTTTATTGCTTTTTTTCTATTTGAGGCTTTCACTATTGTCTATATTTTTTTCCTGGTGGCACACTGCTTAATGTTATTGTCCGTTTTATGAGTATTTATTACGTGTGTCGGAGGGGGCGGGGGGGGGGGGTGTGGAAGTTTCGCCATTCATAATCTTTCCCACGATGGTTTATGGCCGAGAGTTTGTTGCGGAGGGAAACAAATGTGCTGTGCACCAATGGTCTGTCACCAGGCTATATATTTATACACGCTATATCAAGATTTACAGACTCATTTAGAAATCTGGCTATGAAGTTTTTATTTCTAGTTTAAATCACCAATTACATTTTGACCGTCTTATTAGGGAGTTCCATGTCCTAAGGCTAAGACATTTTCCTCCTATAACTCCTTCGGGCAATAATAAAGCCTTGAACCATCCCATCAGGGAACGGACCCAGATATACTTCTGGAGTTCATTCAATAGAGCTCCTGCAGCTATCTCTACACAGCACACCTTTATGTGATGCAAATCGATTCTCCGTATGCCAGTCATCTAATTTATATATAATAATTGGAATCCCAGCGTTGGTCGAGATTAAAATGCAGCCCTTGCAAATTCGTGCTCAATCCAATGCTTGGCAAAACAGCCTCCACTAGAGGGAGCTTTGCTCCTTTATGGTATTTTGGTCTACTCTTCCTCGCCGGCTAGACGTGTTGGAAGAGGTTGGCAGTCCCCATGCTTTAACCCACCACACGTGACGTGACCATCGGCTATCTGTGGCATACACCCACTTAGAAACTGCTGGGTAGACAGAGGCCAGGAAAATGTAAGAAACTCGTATCATTGTTTCAGCTGTCGCACCAAGAAATCAAATCAGAATATTTATACTGGATGAATCCGATGATCTATAAAGCTCTTTTTCACAGATGTTCAGTAGAACATGACAACAACAAACAATGCAAAAACACGATAGTAGTGCAAAGTACAAGAAAGATAAACAAATCACCCAAACACACACAAAGAAAACTAAACCATCCCCATCCTACCAGGCAAGGCCCACTGAGGTATGAACTTATTTTTTAGAAGCAACCTGGCCAAACTATAGCTCAACAAAGTGGCTTATCATTTTGACATTTATCGCAGCTAAATAATGTAAATAATCTCAATGCATGTTTCTAAAGGACCCGGAAAAAAAATCCACATGACCACGGGGAGAACTTGTGACCCCTGTATTGCAAGTCCAGTGTGCTGATGAGTAGCCACGGCAGCATCACTCCCAGCTTTGGACTGCACAAAGTTGAATGAAAATATCTGAATTTAGTTTTCTGGTCTTTTTGGTGCAGTCATTGCTGTCCAGCTTAAGACCATGAATGGTACCGCAATTAATAATGGAGGGAGACTAGAACATGGACTTGAACCAACTTGACCAATTTGAACTCTACGAAAACGACAATCGATGGTCAGCAGTCCAGATTCACGATGGCGTAGCAACCAAAGCAGGGAATACAGCCAAGAGGAGGTGCACCGAGCAAATGGCACCATGAGATAAACTCGTGCGCAGGAGCTAGACGCAGTGTTGCATCGCATTACCGTACGAGACGGTGATGGCTTTGGAAGGCCTTCATCCAGCAGTGGAGAGACCATGGCTGATGACGATGATGATAATGAGACAGACAAGCAAATCTAGGGTTCATACAAAGGAGTGGCTCCAACTCGGCCATTTCAATCCCACTCAAGAAAAGACACCTGGAACGAGGCTCCAACCAGGACCCCGGCGCTGCTAACCCACAAACTCAGACACGGCCATTGTGAGCCTCCTCACCGGTCCTCGGGGAAGCGGCGGCCAACCAGCACGGTGCAGGCGTGCGCGGAGAGGCAGGCCGCCAACAGCGGCACTGTGCGCAGAACGCGACTTTCCTGGGTACACACACACACACGCAAGCACAAAGAGCCCCCAGATAGACTTTAACAGACTGTTGGGGCAAGTGCTGTTAGCGAACGGTACGGCACGCATATGCACAACAATACCTTAATCAGTGGGAACGGTATCATGATCAACATGTCATATGTGCTTGTAATCAGTCACCATCGCCTTAACAATAATTGCCATCATTATCATGATTATAACCAAGTCACCACAGTCTTCATCATTGCCAGCATCAGCATCAACATCATAACCATCACCTTCATTGGCATTGGCATTGTCGATATCCCCAGACACCAATGCCATCATCACCTCTGATTCTAAACAAAGTACTACTTGCTGTGGTCTGGGACTGATTTTCTGCCTTGCCCAAGATTGATTTTGGTGTTGAAAAATCGGCAGGAATTCACGTACTTATTCCATTTGTATCGATTTATTAATTATTTACATTTTGTAACTTGTTTTGCATTCCTATACTTTGCACTCCTATCGGTTTTTGTGGTAAATGTTATGTTGGGCAAACAGTACGAATGATCAGCACGAGACTAAAAGAACATCGGAGAAATATTAAATACTCCCAAATACAACTGTCAGCAGTAGCAGAACACGTGTGCCAACAAGGACACTTAATTGATCTTGATAATGTTGAAGTTCTGTGCAAAACTAGCTACTACTGGCCAAGACTAATTAGAGAATCTATCGAAATTGAAATAAATAAAAATTATTTGAACCGTTCGGATAGCAACCGACTTAGTGCTGCGTGGAAGCGAATAATCAAATAATACATTTGTAGATTTGAAGTTTTCGTGACTGCAGGGATCCATACTCTTTGGTTCTTTCGGGAAAGTCACGTAGGTATAATTGATTTTATTTTATACCTACGTGACTTTACCGAAAAAACCAAAGAGTATGGCGGTAGGCCATGCTTTCCCACCTGATGACGGACGCTTGTGTTGCGCCCGAAACGTCGTGATTTAATTTATTGTTTATCTACGTAACTTTCCCGAAAAAACCGAAGAGTACATTTGTAAGGATTCCTGCCACCCCTCCGTGGTTTGCGGCTATGGCTGCTGGCATCTGGCTCTGTCTTCTCCCGCCATTTCTGATCGTTCCAGGGTTTTGTTGACCGAGATCCCTGTTCCCGGGGCCACTTGGAGGGGGGCTTCTTCAACTTCCTCTACTTCGTTCGAAGTTCCACCCGGTGGGTTTTTTCTTCCACCGTATCTTAACATTTAATTCTTGCCACTTCTCACACCAGTTGTATCGACTCCGGACTCGAACTTTAGAGGTTTCTTTTTATTGCACGTAACATAGCTTAGGACCACGTCGTCATGAGATAATGCGACGTGGAGATCGTATGACCGAGCAGACAGCGACGACGTGAAGACAGCGACGACGGCCCGAGTCCCTTTACGCAGGCCCCGAACATCCTTTCTTGCCCTGCTTTTATCCTCGTGGATTCTCTGGGGGAATTTCCCCAGCTGTCTCTTTTGGACACTTCCCAACCAAGACCCTCCAGACTTGCTGGCGCCTTCTCTTTGTATCCAGCCTCGCTGACACCCTGTCTTCACCTCGAGACTTGCTGACACAGTCTTTACACATTGTTTAAATGCATGCCTATACAGGCCGCCATACTTCAATAGGGATTACCGTTAGTACGGCTATTTTAATACACAATGGACAGGAAGGACAAGATAAAAGGGCTCGCATAATGTACATGCATAATGTACATTAACTCATTAATACCCCCTCTCACTTAACACAAGAGCACAGAAGTGTGGTCACCACATCTACGCCTCTATATAAGGAACGAAACAGGTGGACTTTTCTACAAATCTGGCTGTCGCCTGATGAAGATAGTTGTAATAACTGGCGAAACTTCGTACTTAGATTGTAAATGTTGTGGCTTGGCTCTCCCACACACCGGTGATGCTGTACTAGTGACGAATTGGCATGTTCTGATTACGTGACAACCCTTGCTAGTTGGCTGTGTCGGGTGGTGCAGGTTTTAACGAAACATTTATATATTTACACGATCCAACCCAAAAAAACCTATATTCTTTTGTATTATTTGTTGTAACTTTCTGACCCGCCCCTATTGGACATCTGAGAAAAAAAGCTTCAGAGCTCATCGTATTCCTCTAGTCTAATTAAAATTCTGATTCTGATTAAGCAGGCTGCCTTTACCCAGTGATACAATGTCTAAATTCTACACAAATGTATAATAACAACAATAATAGCGCTACTGATATGCAACGAGGGCATTATTTTTAAGCATGCTGGCACATCACTAAATCGTTTGGACATGTAAGATTTAGATTTGTTCACAAAGGGTTAAAAGCCTTTACATTCTGGCGCCATGCTCAAGCATGAATTATTACCCAAGCACGCTCAACCGTCTCCACTGTGAATGCTTAACTTGAGTTAGGCATCGCCGAACCCATCGGTTGCAAGGCTGTACGCTTAATTATTTAGTAATAACATCGCTGACTTATAATGATATAACTATAAAGGCCCGAGTAAAATGTTTGAGTAGTTCTTGGCTCAAATGAGTGCAGGGCGGTGGCAATCTCCTGCTTATAGCCTCTACACCAATGATGGAAATTCCAGATAAAAAAAACAACCACTGTTGACTTCCCCCAAAGTGGTACTCGGTATGTTCACACCAGAAGAGTTAAATCCTTCCTGGATCACAATCCAGGCGATGAACTCGTGAGCTTTTAATGTCCCCTAGAAAGTGCCACAAAACAAGTTGGGATCTACGGATGGAGTGTGCCTTACGAATGTAAATGAATATTAATAACAGTAAAAATAATAAGACGCTTTATTTTATGTTCATGAAAAAGTGTTTTATATGTAAAAGCAAATAATATAATTCACAAGCCCTTTGCCAATCCACTACTTGATGAAGTCCTTCTCACACCGTGAGGATTAAGGGGAGTTGTTTGACCATAAGACTGGTTCAGATATCACTCAGCACTGATGTTGGCCGTGACTTAGAATCAAACTCGGATTTTCTGGGTTCATCGCGCAGTGAATGAACCGTCCCAATATTGCTCCTTCCACACTTTTTTGTACATTTATTTTACGTGCGATTCGCCATCTTTACCTTGCATTACTCATATTTTTGTTCAATAATTTGTTAAATGTAGTCTGGTTCTGTTAAATTTTGAATGTTTTTTTCAGTATACAGAATACTTAAAACGATTCAATGTAACGCAGGTCATCCTTAGGAAAGAGGCAATGTATAATGTGCCCCAATAGATTTTACACCTCCGGGTGAAATAAAAGATACCGGACTGGCCTTGAACAAGACATTTAACCATAATCCCCCTTGCACAACAGAAACTGTAGTTTCAATAAAAGAGATGCAATGATTCGCCGCTACACGATTCGATGATCTGTCACGATTCTTTTGCTTAACAATGCGGAGAATGTAGGAAGCCATTTTGTGGCAGCAGGGGGGTTCCCGCGAGCCCCAATCATGTTCAACACAGTTGGCAAAACATCCCATTGCAGGACCTCAGAGCTTGGGAAAATTGGTCGAAGCGCCAGCGGTGGCTGCCGTTCATCTGTGGGAGCCTCCGAGCATAAAAAACCCAACTGTGCACGTTACAAATTCAATGGCGTTTTGAGACGCAATTTGCATGCGCGACGCCGCTACTACGTAAAAATGAAAACTACAAAGAGATATACGATTCTAGATTTAAATTCTAGATTTGAAGTTTTCGTGACTGCAAGGGTCCATACTCTTTGTTTTTTTTCAGGGAAAGTCAAGTGGGTAAATTTTTTAAATAAACTGAAATCACGATGTTTCGGAGGCAACACAAGCTTCCGTCTTCAGGTGGCACCGTCACATCAGTAATTAGATACAGTAATTTTGCTGTGACGGTGCCACCTGAAGACGGAAGCTTGTGTTGCCTCCGAAACGACGTGATTTAATTAATTTTTATTTCTTACCTACGTGACTTTACCGAAAAAAACAAAGAGTATAGATATACGATTGCTACGTGCAAATCCTAACACGCCGATTGCGATTCCTACGGCAGAGATTCGATGCGTGTACCGTAAGCTTAGGAATGAATATGATTTTATGAATTGACGTGGTCATTACACCTCTCCACAATGAGCTCTCACCTTGTCATAAATAAAGGACATCTGGCTGTCTGTCTATTTGTTTAGGAGCCATCTCACCACTTGTGTCAACCCAAATCTTTGGCACGTAATTGGTTTTCTCTGGAGCGGTGCGCATTGGGCAACGGTGCTCGTGCGCCTATCACGTCCACGCGGCGCGCTAACCACTGCAAACACATTGGTGATCAGAAGGCCACATGCTTAGGAAAACGTTATAGCCCCCCACCCCCCCCATAAATCCAGGGCTAAGCGCAGCATCTAAGGCGAACGGGTCAATACCCACCGGGAGTTTTATTTGTACGCTTTGACAATCAAACACACCACTCTGGCAGCCATATCACCTGAGATGGTGTTAATAATTTATCTGAGCAAGGCAGATATGGTGCCCTCTGACCTCAATCCGTGCACGTTTGCACATACACACGTGCGCACACACTCGCTCACGCGGCTGCAGCCTCGTCCCACGTGCACCAACGTTCTAAGACATCGGGCGACCATAGCTAAGTACAGGTGGGTATTAGGCGTGTAACAATTCACTCGTTAAAATGGAATATTTTTGGATTGAACTGTCCCGTCTAAGAGTTGATCATTTACGATTTGTGCCAATGTTGTGCAAATATTTTCTTCAGGCCAACTGTTGGGGATGAATGCAAAGAGACAGCACGAGACAGAGAGTAAGGACTGTGCACGCAACAGACATGACTACCCCAACGCCTCCTTAACCACTCCCACCTGTCCTCCTGACTGCCACCATAATTAAACCACTACCGCCTTTAATAACAACGCCACTCTTTATTTCAACCACTATCATCTCATGTACAACTTTATAATTATTGTAAAGCACCTTGGATTAAGGTGCTATATATTAAAGATAAGCTAATATAGTCCAAATAGGATTATATTATTGAATCGAATTGTGACCCCAAACTGTTATTACATTACACTTATTTACCCAGGAAAGCTCTACTGAGTCTCAGGACTCTATTTCAGGAAGGTCCTGCCAAGTTTTTGTAGTAGAGGGAGATATTCATGTGTATTCGCAATTAAGTAATTTTCAGGTAATTTTTCAGCATTGGGATTTTGCCCAATATCAGTTACATTGTTTGTGGGGGGTTTATTTAGCGAAGGAAGGAAGCCCGGAGAACCTAAAGGAAGCACAAGCAAAACAGGGGGGAGAACACACAAACTCCACAGTCAAAAGGGGCCCGAGTAGGGGGAATTGAAGCCAAGACATTGTTTGCTTTGAGACACAAGTGTTACCACTGAGCCACCCTGCCACCCAAATCACACCCCTCCACCCTCGGCTGCACCTCCGATTAGCAGTTGGCTACATACGGTGCGAAAGAAGGTCAATGTACAACACATACAAAACAAAGTGGAAGGTGGGAAAATAATTGCATGCTGAATATAGCGAGTATAAACGTGTGTACAAATATGAATTCACACACAAGCACACGGACACATAAAAAGAGACACACAGACACGTGTGCACACACACACAAGCACACATATATATGCGAGCAAATACAATGTCAATGGTCCCCCGATAACTTAAACAGACTGTTACGGCAAATGCTATAAGTGAGCAGTGAGGATAATATCAATGTGGCTAACACCACAGCACCAGGTACTCATTAAAGACTGTGTGAATGAAGCGGAGACCCAGAACCAGTTCAGATATTCATCAGTGATTTGGGCCACGAGTAGAAATCGAACTTGGGTGGGTCAGGTTCTTAAGTTAGCGTGCTAACCACAACACTACCGCTCCCCACGTACATGTGCCTGCCTACACGCAAAGATCCTCATAGCTTTAACAGACCTTTGGGGCATACGCTGTGAGCGAGCACCGACGAAGGCCAGCACGGAAAACTAGGGGCTCGAACAGCACCATGCCCGACCGCCTTTGTCTCCCTAATGCCGATGTTTACGCACCGCACCAGGTACTCGATTGAGGCAGAGTCGACCGAGGGGAGGCCCAGAACCGGTTCGGATAATCGTCACTGGTGTTGGCCGTGAACGGGAACCGAACTCGGGAAAGGTGGGTCCGTGGCGCAGCGCGCTAAGCGCCACACTGCTGCTCCCCACACACACACGCGCGTACGCAGACACACGCGCACACACCGAGGGGCGGCAGGCGCACGCACGTCGGCGTGACGCAATTAGCGCGCATGGGCTGGCGGTGTGCGAGCGCGCACTCCACTACGCCCGTCGCGCCGCTCCGCGGGGCGGGCAATTAAAAATCCAAATGAAAGTTCCACTCGGAAGGCTCCGACCGCCGTAATTGCCAATCGATGGAGCAGGGCGCAACGCGTCGCTTCTAACGACGGAATCCGTTCTCGTAACGCTCCGCGTTCCGGCTCCCGTGGCATGCGCAGAAAAAAAAAAAGCTGAGCGATCGCGACTTAGAGGAGGCGAGCCGCGCCGATGTGAGCCGTTCGAGTTGGTCGGGAATAGGAATGAGATAAAAACTGGGCTAACCAATTATTTCGGTGCTTTGCCAAAAAATCTGGAATCCCAGGAGCGTTCATTGAAACAAGCCCGCTGATGAGACCCAGGAGATCCAAAGTAGTCGAGAGTTTGCTTGCTTAAACAAACGTTTCTGGATAATATGGATAACGTTTGTCTGGAAAGCAAATAGGCCAATGGAAGAAAACATGCTTTTATTCATAGTGTCAATCCCCTGAGGAAATGGAGCAGTGAAATCAGTTAAAGTGCAGGTGATGGATAGATTGTTGAACCACAGGATTGTGAGAAGTGGTGGCAGCTTGGAGAGGCTTTCAACCTGCAGTGGATTGACCATGGCTGATTATGATGTGCAGACAAATTTAACAACAAAGATGTGCATTGCATGTTTATCAGCCTTATACAGACAACATACTCAGTTGCGAGATGATTAATTTCCTCGCCTGGTATGCAGGAGGTCGTGGGTTCGATCCCAAATCCTGACACCTGTTTATTTGGAGTTTGCATGTTCTCCCCGTGGTCGTGTGAATTTTTCTCTGGGTCCTTCGGTTTTTCCCTCCACATTTAGAAACATGCGTTTACAGTATTTGGATGGGAGAAATGTCCACGTGATAAGTCACCTTCGTTGAGCTTGTGGCCAGGTTGCTTCTGAAAAATAGCTACATAGCTCAGTGGGCCTTGCCTGGTAAAATAATATATATTTTTTATAGTTTTAACTCAAAATCAATGGATGTGTGGCCATATTGCCACTTAATACACCAACTCAAAAAATATATAAAAGGTGGCTATCTCAACAGGGAAGCAGTGAAACCCACACAATTGTCGACCGGTTTCACACTCATGAGGACTCATCACGACCGTAAGTCATCACTGTCCGCGAATGCCATAAAGTTTTGGCAGCCCACGTATGCAGAGGGCTAACCCTGACACTAAAGAGAACCCATTAGCTTGCCTACAGGCAACAACAATTACGCAAATTTATAAATGAGATGTTCTGCACAAGGCAATGCATGTCTTATTGGATATTTTTTGTTTTCTGGCTTGAACAATTTTATCTGTCGCAATGAGTTTTATCATCATTTTACAGGTTTGAATCGATGTGGAGACACAGAATGGAGTCCGCTTCTAAATTCCTTTACCCATAATGCTCCAAAAACAACATAATGAGTTTGGAAATTATCACTTTAGGTACACAGTTATAATTCTACTGATTATCGCTCCCATCACCAAACTTAACCTGGTATCACAAGAATAGTCTTTCACCTCCGATCCTGTGCGTGTGACGCTGGACAGGTGGTGATGGGGGCACGGCTTGGCGATGTCATTGGTAGGTGGGTTTCCCACCTTCGGGGAAGGCAGGATGTCGTGGCGGTGGCCATTTTTAAAGAGACCAGAGCAATCGACCACAAAAAAGTGGTTGTTTTTATTTGTAGTCGACTAATTGAGTTATGGGCGAGGCGCCCCGTCTCTAAACCACAAGTTTGCTCTCCGATGTGTCGGCTGTGCCGTTGTACCCAGTATGTTGGCGAAGTGGTGCCACTCTGCCAGCAAGTGGCGGTGTGCTGGAGAGTGTTGACAGGAACTATTGTAAAACGAATTTACCGCGTAAGGCCCACTAAGCTATGTAGCTCTTTTTCAGAAGCAACCTGGCCACAAATGATAACTCAGCGAAGTGGCTTATCATGTGGAAATTTATAGCAGCCAAATACTCTAAATGTATGCTTCCGAATGTGGAGGATCTGGAGAAAAATCCACACGACCACGAGGAGAACATGCAAACTCCAAATATACAGGCGTCAGGGTCGGGCACCAACCCACGACCTCCTGTACACCAGACGAGGTAGTTAACATATCGCCACCGTGGTGCCACCCCCAAAACAAATTCACCTTTCCTTGTGCACACATGCCTATGCTGTGTCCAGAGCTGTCCGATAAGAATTGGAGGCTTGTGTGGGCTGGTGTGTGGAGCAGGTGTGTGTGGATTGGCGACCCGAGTTCGAGTCTCAATCATAGCCAACACGATTGATGATTTATCTGAACCAGTCTTAAGCCTCCCCTAGGTCGACTCAGCCTCAAATGAGTACTTGTTGTGGTGTAAAAACATCACCATGAGCAAGACGAAGGCAGCCAGGCATGGTTCTGGTAACCCACGCCTCGTGTACATGCGGGCCTTCAAAGGATTGGTGTGCAAACCTCGCACCTCCGATTTGTGCGGTTGGCTATGTACGGTGCGAAAGAAGTCCAACATCCATACATACATGCGCTGGTGTGTAGGCTGGTTTGTGACTGGGTAGAATTTACCCTGGCTGTTGTGTGGGCATGCATGTGGGTGAATGTATGGGGTGGTAAGTGGATTGGTGTGGGCTATGTGTCAGCTTGTGTGTGTGGGCTGGCGTGTTATCTGTAGGTGAGTGTGTGAGATGGTTTGTGGATTGGCGTGTGATCCTATGTACACTCACACTGGTGTGTGGGCTGCTGTGTGCCAGGGTGACTGGGTGACATGCAACTTGCCTCGGCCGGATGCTGTACAATATAGAGACGCGTGGAAACCTCCAGGGGGTGAGCCGGCAAGAAGGGACAGAGACACACCTTCTGGGGCCGCCTAGAAAACCCAAACATAAAACGATCAAAGACAGAAAGGGGGAGACAGACAAACAAAGAATTCACTTGTGCAGAATAAGATACAACTCAATTCTTCCACAACGGCATTTTTTCTTGATATCACAACAATTTTTCTCAATCAATTTCCTTTCCCAGACAACCTAAGTGGAACGTTAGGCCCGACTCGCTGCAAAAAAAACAAACGCACTCCTTCGATCTATTTTCGTTACAGCGCCGAAAAAGGGCAAGTCGAATGCGAGCAGAATTTTGCAAAGGCTCAACCGAGAGCTCAGTGGGCAGGAGAGTGCTCCTGCACCTGCGTGCCAAACGTAAAGGTCATGGGACGCACGCCAATCTCTCCCGCGCACAACAACGTTTATTCCGGCACGGTGCTCTCGCAACGTTTTGCCTGTTCGCAAGTTTTGCTCGAACGCCACAGCTTGTTCACAAAGGAGGCACCGGTTCGAAAAACATTACGAAAAATATATATATGATGATGCAGCAGCTCTGTTTACCCATTCACAACGGTCTGCTGTTTTTTATTTGACCGAAAAGAAGCATGGGAGGATGCATCATTAGAATTACACCGAGCGACAACAATAGCAGCACACCGATTAGGGAATAAATGAAAACCTGGGACATCCATGTTGAGTCGAGGAAAGTCGCCGGGCCTGGGAAGGACATGTCAATGGAAAGCGATGGCTGATTGAAAAAGACTGGCGACAGAATGGCAGCCAGTGGCGAGAACGTACACGAGAGGACAATCGCTGCGGGGGGGATGGGGCGCTGAGACGAGGAGTGAATTAGATGGTGACGACACAGGACGAGCGATGGTGATGGAGAGGGACGACTTTAATCGCGCAGTAGAGACACTTACCTGGTTTCCAATTAACTTGAATATTCTAATGCCCTTTCATGATCAAATTCAAGCTAGAAATACGTGTATAAGTCCTTCCAAATGTACCCTCCTTACAAATAGCCTTCGTATGATTAGAAATGCATGCATTTAGATCGAAGTGAATAAGAAATAAGGAAAAATAAGCTACGTATGATTACCATAGCCTGGGAGGGTTTGGAAATGTTTAATGGTATTGCCGAGGACATTCGGCCAGGAATTGAAGCCGAGTAGTGGGGATCATAACGAAGTGCAAAACGCACCACGTGAGTGTTCATCTTTCTTATAAACATCATCATCAACACCCATCATCAATCGACTGTCAGACCAAGACCTCTTCCTCCCCCTACTGTCGCCATCCTTCACGGTCCCACAACGCCACAATCCATCTCGCTCCTGCACATTAGTTAATCTCATCACTCCATCTCCGTGTTGCATGTCCTCTCGGGCGTGTAATCTCTCACGGCTGCCATTCCAGCACTAGTCTCGTCCATCAACCATCATCCCCTTGAGCGACGTGTCCTGCCCAGGCTCATTTACTCTTCCTAACCTTCAATATGATGTCTCAATTGCATTTGTTCTACAATTTATGTGCTCCTCATTCAGCCACCAATCCATGCATCTCTACACACATAAATTCAGATTTTGTTCCATTTTACTTGTCAATGTCTAGGCAAGATATACAACTTTATTCTCTCGCTACGTTGGTAAGTTACTCTTTATTATTGAGTTCAGTTTTCATAAAAAACACTTCTTATTTCATGATTTTGATCCCGGTCTGCCTTCCAATAATGTATCTAGGTCCACATTTTTGCGAGGTATTTTCTGATAGCCTTACTTAAAAAAAAAGTTATTTCTCCTCGATTCAAATTTTTAATTTCAGTCTGTTTTAATTGCTTGCTAATTAGATTGCTTAACGAGTTTTTAGCCACACAATACATTAAAAATAGAATACTAATCTACAGCCCATTGTAAAGCCACTCGTGGATGAAGGCCCCCCGACACTGTGCTGGTCATGGGGGTTTGTTTGACCAAACTTCACCTCAACGAACAGTGTCAGGGTGGTGATGGTGAGGGCCCAGGACTGGTTTAGATGTCACTCGTCACTGATGTTAGCTGTAGCTGGGAATCGAACTCGGGTTTCCATGTTAGGCGCAGTGAGCAAACCACTGTGCCACAGTTCCCCTCCAAACACATTTTCAAAAAAGTTTCCGTTCACTAACACCTACTTGTAATAATTGTATATGCATGTATCAAAGGGGAATCTGGGATAGTATTTCAGTGAGGCACAACCTACATTATCTTCACTAATGTCATTTTTATTTTTTTTTGCATTCTAAAGTCTAATGGCCCCCACGGTTACAGGAGAGATTTACACAAAGATAAACGGCTGCACACCCACACGGCCGTCCAAATCTGAATTTCATGATGAATAACTTTACATGAAATTCATGTAATCCGAAATCGTCACGTCTCATGCGAACCTTATGGAAAGTCCAACCTGGCCCTTTCACTCTACAAACGGACCGGGATTTACATATATACAGTACATCTATTCTGTTTACTCCCACGCAATGCAAACGAGCGGCACGATGAACTGCGGCAACTCCTATTGAAGTGTTTAACCGCGTCGAGATGGAAATGCCCAATTCAAATTTAGGGCGGCAGAATGATGCAGTGGTGACACATGCGCCTCCCTGCAAGAAATACCTCGGTTCGATTCCTTACTCGGGCACCCTTCTGTGTGGAGTTTGCATGCTCTTGCCCTATTCTGCATGGGTTTCCACTTGGTTTTCAGCAATTCGGTGTCCTCAAAAAGTTATAAAAAGAAACCCGGTACAATACAACCGGAATTGACCAATTATCCCAATGCTGAAAAATTACCTGCAAATGACTCAAGTTGGATTACCCACAGGCATCAACGGCACCTACTGGCAGACTAATGCTCGCTGAACCATCTTGTGCTGCATAGGGACAGCTGCCACTGAGGGTCCCGCATTGCATGGTTGAGATGAGATGTGATATTAGGCACTTTGAGTTGCTATGGCATTTAAGCCCCATATAAATGTTATTATTATTTATTATCTTTACGTAGAAAATGGGAAAAAACTATTCTTACAAGAGCCATTCTACGCATGCAGTGCGAGCTTGAAAATTATTCGAATCAATGAATCAATTAGGTCATCGCACCACTACTATCAACAAACGCTGATATGTACATCACGCAAACCCAACACCTCTGCCCTCCCGTACGTTGACTGATCGAATTCGTTTTGCCCGCGCTCGTGGGAGCAGAAAACCAAACGAAGAAAAAAAATCATCCAAAATCGCACACGCCGCCCGTCCGCACACCAGGGCCTTGCGCCCACTGGTTCCCCTGCGAGTGGAGGGGGTGGCGGCGGTTGTCATGAGAAGGGTGCTTGGGACCGGGTTAACACGTCGCTTGACTTGCTTTTTTTCCCCCGGTTCTGCTTAGCAGCGTGACGGACAGGCCATTAGGCGGTAACTCGGCGCACCGCGCGCGGCGGCAAACCACAACAAATCGTGCCAAATTACCCGAGGAACATGCAGATCGCTACGTGAGCCGGCCGCGAAATGAGCGGTTGTCAAGCGCAGGTCCTGGACCCCGCGTACCGCCATTCCCACTGACGATCTTACCTATTTGCATCTCACCGTAGCGCACCATTGTTATTTGCTCTGCTGTCTGTGTGTTGCCAAAGCCGACTGTTGCAGAACTTCAAGCTACAATGACAAACTAAATGTAGAACGTGACCATATATGATGACTACGATCGAGTGCGTACACGAATACATGAGCGCGTGATGCCTTCGCAGGCATTAACATGCGTGAGGATACGAGGCAGTGGATTGGCTGTCATCATGGTGAAAATATAGTATTTAAGTGTGGAAATTAAATTGACTTAAAAAATATGTAGTACTGGTAGGAACCACCTGGTTCCACCAGCCCACAGGGGATTATTGTGTCCGTCCGTCCGTCGTGCATCCAAAAATGGGAGGGGTGGGGCTGGGTGGGGGGTGGGAGGGGTGGGGCTGGGTGGGGAGGGGCTGGTCACCCCGTGGTGCCCTTATAAAAACTCAACGTTTCACCTACTCAAGCCGGCTTGTGCCCGCCCTCACAGTCGGCCGTATTTGCAGAATACACCACGCCGACGTTGACCCTGGCCATTGACCGAGCAACCCAACGTTCCTACCAGCTCCCTCCGCAGGAACGTGTTTTAATAACGGGGTGGCGATGTGGTTCAGCGGCTGTGCGTTTACCCATTTGTTGCAGAGGTTTGTGGTTTGAATCAGGCCAGTGGCCCTTGTTAATATTGCGGGTGTATTAACGTTAAGGATCCCCGACATCATAAAAAAATATTCGGCTCATTGCTTGTCGACATCATGGTCCAAACTTTCAAAAAAATGAAAAAAAATACACCACAAATTACCCTCATGGATTGCCTACTGGCGGACGAAGGCGCACTTGCAGGCGCCGGTGCGGAGTCGCACAGGGGGACAGCTGCAACGTGGGCGTCCCCCTGTGAATGGCTGTGATGAGATACTAAATGGAGCACCCGATAAAGCAAAAAGTTATTATTAGGCAGTTAATAATCTCGTGGGGGTCCCTTTGACAGATTCTGCCGAGACAGGAGAACTGCTGAGATTCAACAAAAAGTTTTGCTTTGTATACATCCTCACTGAGTGAATGGACATGAATGACAAGTTTGTGTGAAGGCAGTTTACGTTTCTGCTAACACTTGCATCAGTTCTGGTGAAAAAGTAAAACTGGAATGAGGACAACGTTGGGCAGTTGTTGAAGGGGAGATTGCCTCTCGTCCAGGGCACGTTTGCTAAACCTGTTTGAAATGCAACCGCCCCCTTACTTGGATTATTTTGAAGAGTTTTTTTAACACCCCGAAGGAGGAGCCGAGCGAGAGCGACATTAAGGGAATCTAAAACGACGATTGCGAAGGTCACACGGTCGCGCTCTTCGGCAGGCTGTCGGGAAAAACCTCGCAACCAGCGACGAGGGGGAGAGAAACGGCGAGGAGAGGAGAGAGAGACGCGCTGACGAGCTCATACGGGGTTTTCAAAGAGGGATAAAAA